GTTCGTCGACTTGGTTTTTGGCTTCCGTGTGTTCATCAAAGTGAAGCGCAAGTTGGAGAGCCATGTACCATCAAGTGACTGGTTCACAGCCGACCATCTGGCGCTTCAATTTGTTGGACGCAGGGAAGCCTCGAAACAACTCGAAGAACTCCACATCTGTGTGCCGCCCAACACAAACACATACTTGTTCATCAAAGTGAAGCGCAAGTTGGAGAGCCATGTACCATCAAGTGACTGGTTCACAGCCGACCATCTGGCGCTTCAATTTGTTGGACGCAGGGAAGCCTCGAAACAACTCGAAGAACTCCACATCTGTGTGCCGCCCAACACAAACACATACTTGGTCAGACATCACTGATTTCTCACCAAGTTTGTGTCGCACTTATGTAGGCAAATTTCATTGCCATGTGTTGTGTTTGCGTTTGTGTTTATGTGATTATTGGGAGCCCCCCAATGTTGTTGGCTGTTTGGAAATGACATGGTCCAGGCAATTATATTGTTTCAATTTTACAGTATATAGCAATATGTATCATATATTATTGTTTGAAATTAGGCTTGTCAATAATTTATTGTTTGAATTCAATACAGATAACTACATAATAATATAATTATGCGCAATGCTGAGTACAGCATCGCTTCCATAATAAAAGTGAAAATAGAGCAAAATATCCGGATAATGATGATGGTTGACATCCGGATGATACCCTAAGATTGCTCAATTTCAAAAAAGGGACGCACAGCTGAAATGTACCAACGATGGCGGCGGTGTCTGTCGGCCCTACCGCTCGTTGCTGCGACATCATCGTGGCATGTGACGTCGAATGAGTCTTTCGTGCAGACGGAGCAGCAAAAGGGGAGACAGACCACGTCCATATCGGACAAGTACGAAGTCGGCAAGGTCATCGGCACGGGCGGGTATGCTGTCGTCAAGATTGCCAAGGACAAAGCAACCGGTCAGGAAGTGGCCGCCAAGTTCTTCGACATGAAGTCGGCGTCCACAGCAGAGATCGAGGCAGAGGTATATGTAGATTGAGATTTCTAGACGACTCACGTCCATAGTTAGATCGACATGCTCCGATGGATCGGCACCCATGCCAACATCGTGTCGTTGCGAGACGTGATCTACGAACCCACAGACATTGTCATGGTCATGGACCTCGTTCGGGGCGGCGAGCTTTTCGACTACATTGTTAGCCAGGTAAAGGCAGGTGTCGTTCTTGATTTCAATAGCTCCTTCTTGCAGGGCTCCATCACCGAAGCCGACGCCAGCCGCATGCTCCATGACGTGTGCCTCGCTCTGCAGCATCTCCACGAACGGGGCGTATGGTGCGTCGCCATCACAACCATCTCACATCGAACCATGTCATGCATCTCTTGTAGCCACCGAGACCTCAAGCCTGAAAACCTCCTCTTGACCGAAGTGTCCGCCGACGCCGACATCAAAATTGCAGTGCGTTCTTCTCCCCCATATCATACATCTCCATATGAATAATGGAACGCATGACGTGGCATCCCCCGGGTCACTATGAGAACATGTGTTGATATTGTGCTTTCGAGTGGTTTCTCGTTGGAATTTAAATCGATTTGATTGGCTACCTCAGATGAGCTCAAAATTATGAGCCAATCAAAACCTTCTCAATGAAATTCAACAACCAATCAGATCGATTGTGGATCAATTCGACAATATGTCTGTCGTTTTTTTAAATAGATACATTTCCATGTATTTTTTTAAAATAAAACAAAAGCAATATATATATATTGAGACGAATAAATCCTATGTATATACATTCTGTTTTGAGATTTATAATATATCAACCTAGGACTTTGGCCAAAGCCTGCGGCACGCCGTTGGGTCCAAGCTCAACGACGCGCCCCCCGGCGGCACCATGTGCGTCGCATGTCATGTGTTTGCTGTCATAGCATGATAAATCGCAATTAGTGTGACCGTTCGAAAACCCTCTTTAGTGTGACAGCGACCAGTTGTGACCAGTGATTTAGTGTGTGTTGTGCCTGACCTATGTGTACTAATAACTAGCGTATACTGGGCGCCTGAAGTGATTAAGCGTGCGCCACAGGATTGTGCTGTCGACATGTGGGCATTTGGGGTGCTGGTACACCAACATATCTGTTGTCATCGTTGCCAATATCAACGCCCATGTATGTAGCTGTACATAACCCTCACGGGCATCCACCCATTCGATCCCAAAGGCAACTACTCGGATGCCCACATCATCAGCTTGGCCGTGCGCGGCGCCTACGATGGTACTTCCCCCGATCGCCTACTTGTCAATACAAGAAAAGCACTCTCCTGTAGTGTCCAATTCATGGTACAAGAGCTTGAGCGACGAGGCCAAAGACTTGCTGGGCAAATTGCTCACAGTGGACCCGAACGCCCGGTACACTGCGGCCCAAGTGCTAGGACATCCGTGGATGCATCCGCGGCTGCGGCGACGGCTGAGCACCCGCTTCAGAGACGGCTTGTCGAGTCGTCTGCAGGGGTACCGCCGTCTCCAGCACCTTCGCGCCAACATTGTGACTGTATTGCTGTCGAACCAGCTGCAGAATACATCGCAAAGCAACTGGCTCACGAATCAAAACCGCCAGTCGAAACCCACGCAGCAACTGCACACACTCAACCAACACGTGTACGAAGAAGTGTTTGCCTTGTTTGACCAAGACCAGAGCGGTAGCATTTCCAAACATGAACTCGCAGACGTGTTAAAAGCGCTCGGACAACAGTATACGCCGTACGTACACATAGCATATGAAAACACGTCAAGTATATTGTTGTACTTGATTGCTTCTGAGGCTCTGGGTCATTGGGTTGATTTTTTTCCATTGGAAAATTGATTATCGTATATATATATATATTGTATATATATATTTATTTTTTTATCGTATATATATATATATATATATTGTATATATGTATTTTTGAAATTGTAAATAAACGGAAACACACGTATATATACCATACAGATTTGGGTATTCGATACTACGTAGTAGTACGTATACATCCACAATGTCGATATCGATGTAAAGCGAATTCGGAATATGCATATATATATATATATATATCTTTAGGATTTCTACTACAAATATATATATATATATATATATATATATATTTATATGGACGTAGAGCGGAGATCGATGCGATCATGGTATCGGCCGACGTGGACGGTGACGGTGGCATTTCGTTGATGGAGTTTACGACGCTCGTCAACTCGAGTCTGGTGCAAGTGGGCCAGTGGAACGACGCCGACCTCCACGCCGCCTTCCAAGTACGTACTTAGTAGTAGTATTACTAGTACTACTAGTTGAGCCTTGGTACTTGGGTAGATTTTTGACGTGAACCACGACGGGTTTATTTCGGCGGACGAGTTGGCATATGTACTGAATATTCTCGACAAGACGCCCATCTCCCCCGCTGAACTCGCCGATTTGATCGAATCGATTGACGAAAATGGAGACGGTCAAATCGACTACAAGGAGTTTTCAACCCTCATGCAAACGTGGCTTGTTGAAGGCCGGGGAAGCTAGCTAGCTAGTTTTACTAATGTTATCGTCTATGTATTACTATATATATATAAGTATGTATCGTCAGTGTACTACCTACCGATAGATTAGCAGTTGGTATTACTGCTGTTGGTCTAACTATTAGATTGATTCGACCAACACATTAGTACGTACTGCTTTGAAATGATTTCAAAAGCGCAATGTTTGTCCTTGCATCAAAGCAAAACTAATTAGTGCGTTAATATTATGTTATAGAACAAATCCACACTAGTATTGTCGATTTGATACAAATTTGGGGAGGGGGTGCAATCGAATCGCGCCGACCAAACCGATCTGATTGGTTGAGTTTCATTGAGAAGGTTTTGATTGGTTAATAATTTTGAGCTCATCTGAGGTAGCCAATCAAATCGATTTAAATTCCAACGAGAAACCACGCCACTACACGACATTTCACTCGAAAGCACAATATATACATCTATATATATTTGTCATGTATTGTGACGTCGATTACCTACGCCCGGTGTGCAGCACGTACAAGAGCACCCCTCCAAGTCCTTGGAGCACGAGCGCGTACCCGACGAGTACGCCGGCGTGGGACCCCACATGCACATCATGCAGATCGAATCGGGTCAAAACGGCGTCGGCGCTGGGAGTATTCACGCCCTGGAATTGGTTGGCCACGAGCGCTTCAAAGCTGTACGTGTGGAAGCCGAGGTAGTGTCCCCACAGCCAGTACGGCTGGATCGCTGGCTTAGGCACCATGAAGCCCTCGGTGAGAACGAACATGCCAAAGCAGGCCGATCCGACGGCGATGCCCATAATGGCGTTGGGCACGAGCACCCCCAGCACACACATGAACGACTCGGCACTGGTGAGACTGGCAAACATGATCCCGAAGAACGACCCGAACCCCCGCAGACCAGTCATGGGCACCACCATCACCGTCGTGGTGATGGCCAGCAGCGCCAGCCCCGGGAGCCCCGCGACGAACGTGGCGACGGCGTACGCGCCGACGTTGAGCCCGCTGTTGGCCCTTTCACGGGAAAACACGGCGCGCTGGTCCAGGAAGAAGGGGAGGGCCGCCACACTGAGGAACGTCGTGAAGGCCGGCGCGCCAAAGAGCAGCGACACCAAGTCGACGTCGGTTAGTTGGTGGTCGTGGTTGAGGTACAACGTGCCAGACATGGCCGAGAGCGCAAAGAACATGACGAAGCGCATCCAGAAGATACCAGGGTTGCGCACGTTCTCCAGCGCCGTGCGCTGCAGCACCATCAGGAATTGGCGTCCCACAGATGGCTTCATCTCTCGCAAGTCGGCTTTCGACAGCGGGGCAAAGTCTGAACGGGATCGGTCCCCCGTTACTTGCAACTAATAGGTGAAGCTTGGTTGACAAAGTGGATTGTGGATACTACCTTGGTGTGAGTGGCAAAGGTACTAGATGCAAATCCCCCAGCGAGGGCATCGACGTCCCCGTGCCCGGGGAAATCCGTGTTGACTAGCGATAGGTAGTACTCGGCCGGGTTCGAGTAGGTCGGGCAGGGGTACCTGTGGGGGGATGCTGCTATTTTAGTATAACGATATACTAAATGGGGGGGAAGGTAAAAGTTGATGTAAGTACCCAATGTTTGCAAAATGAAGAAGCAAGTCGTGGGGGGACCCAAAGAAAACGGTTTCGCCCTGGGCCAAGACCAACACCTTGGCAAACATGGTGTATACTTTGGTGCTGGGCTGGTGGATCGTGCAGATGACCGTGTGCTTTTGCGACAGACACAGCTTTTGAATGTACGCCATCACGTTGTACGTGGACGCCGCATCCAACCCAGACGTGGGCTCGTCCAGCAACAAGATCGTGGGCTTGCTCTATTATTACAACCATCAGATTCTATTCATGCATTCATGGGGGTGTTATGTACGAGCAGTTCGATGGCGATGCTCAACCGGCGCTTCTGCCCCCCCGAGAGGCCCTTGCGAAAGATATCGCCCACCACGGTGTGTTCGCACGACCGCAACCCTACGACATGTATATGCGTGACGTTATCACATGTACGATGACGTTATCGTGAGGAAAGCGATGATCGTCAATATACCCATGTCGTCGATGGCAGCTTGGACCCGACCTTCCCGCTCGGTGGCGAGGACGTTAGCGGGTACACTCAACCGAGCAGCGAACCGGAGGGTCTCCAGCACCGTGAAGGAGCCCGTGAGCGCGTCTTCTTGAGACACGTAAGAGGACAAGAGGCGGAAGGTTTTCACTGGACGAGGGCGGCCGTTGAGGTCGATCTGGCCCGTCACTTGGCCAGAGGAGATGCGGTCCGCGAGGATGTCCAGCAGCGTGGTCTTGCCGCTTCCAGATGGTCCCATGATGGCTACCAGTTCCCCAGGAGCTGCCCGACCGGACACGCGATTGATGATGACTTTGGAGTGTTGCCCTCGGCGGGACACGGTATAGCTGAGGTTATCCCATCCCAGCGTGCATTCGTTCTGGAGCGGCTTGACATGTCTAGAGACATCACAAGGACTGAAATGCAGCGACGGCAATTGAACCATGTTGTTAGTGTTGAGCAAGTTTTGAAAAGTGATTACTCCGAGTACTCCGAGTATCACCTGGTAGATGCAAAACGTACCTTCTATCTAGAGTGATGATCACTCTCACTACGCCTTTGCATACCAAATCGCTGGTTAACTGTGAGTGACTCTCGTTTACGCTCACAAAATACGTGGCACGACAGTTGAGACAGATGGGTTGTACGAATCCACGTGATTTGGTTCAATGAAATGCTCGAAATAGCTGGTGTACATTACGCACACCAAATTGCACTTGGGGCCCACTTCATACAAATGTTGAGCTTAATTCAATTTTCATATTATTTGCTCGTAATGCAACATCGGTGAGGCAACTATTTTGACTCTCTGTGGTTGACAAGTACTGACACCTCTAGATCGTAATCACAGATTCCTCCAAACACTTGGTCACGGTTTCATCAAATCAATCACAAACACCAGCAGTGGTTACTTGAAGTACTTTAAAACTTGCCATGACCGACGACAACTACATCCACATCCAAGCCGACGGCAAGCAGCCTCCCTCCTCGTCGTCCTCCAACCACGTCCGAGTGAGTGGTCATCCGTGTGTGTTGGGGTGGGACAGCATCAGCTACACCGTGCCAGGCAAGAAGAAAGGCAAGCAAATCCTGTACAACGTGTCTGGTCGATCGGCGCCCGGAGAACTCACCGCGATCATGGGTCCGTCGGGCAGCGGCAAGACCACGCTCTTGGACATCCTCGCCGACCGCATGTCGAGCGGCACGATCTCCGGTAAGGTCGACGTGAACGGCAAGACCCGTCACAGCTCCAGCTTCCGCCTCCTGGCATCGTACGTGTCTCAAGACGACGCACTCTTGGGCTCGTTCACAGTGCTGGAAACTCTGCGGTACTCTGCCCAGCTCAGTGTAGCCGCCAACGTTGGTCCAGACGAACGAGAGTCGCGGGTTCAATCGGCCATCGACGACATGGGTAGTAGTACTATAATCGCCCCTTGTATTATCCCCTCAAGATGGATGAATGTGTAGGGCTTCGGTCGTGTGCGGATACAATTGTAGGCGACTTGTTTCGCAAGGGTCTCTCCGGGGGGCAGAAGCGTCGACTGAGCATCGCCATCGAATTGCTTGTACGATTCAATGATCTGCATACTCATCAAACACGATCCTGTTGGACTTGACGACTTAGAAACATCCGACGGTGTTGTTGCTGGACGAGCCCACGTCAGGGCTGGACTCGGCGTCGACGTTGAACGTGATTACGCACGTTTTGAAGCTGAGTCGATACCAGCACTGCACGGTCGTGTGTACGATCCACCAGCCCAGCTCGGTGGTCTTCAATTTGTTTGCCAACATCGTGCTCTTGGCCAATGGACAAACCGTGTTCAGTGGCAGCCCCCAGCACGCGCTCAGCCACTTTGCCTCGCTCGGGCACCCCGTGCCTCCCTTTACCAACCCCAGCGAACACTACCTGGAGCTCATCAACGCCGATTTTGAAGGGGCCCATGACACGGATGTCTTTGTCGCCTACTACCTCCGCAGCGACGTGGCCGCTCGCATTCAGAATCAACTCGCATTCGACCGCGATGCTTCTGTGGACGAGGACGCCCTCACTACTCACGCAGCGGACCTGCGTCCGTCAGCGTTCCGCCAACTAGGGGTCATCATACACCGCAATTCGCTCAACAACGTGCGCAACCCGGGCGTCTACGGTGTGCGCGTGGTCCTGTACATGGGTTTGAGTGCCATGGTGGGCACGATGTACCTATATTCGAACAAGAGCCTTGTGGAGGACGACCTGGTCAATCTGCTCTTTTACGTACAGGCGTTTCTCGTGTTTATGAGCGTGGCGGTGCTGCCTTTTTTCACCGACCAGCGCGCTGTGTTTGCCCGCGAACGCGCCAACCACGCGTTGAGCGTGCCGAGTTACGTCGTGGCCAACTTCGTGGCGGCGCTGCCAGGTATCTTTGTGATTGCGCTTTTATCGAGCACGATCGTGGTGTCGCTGGCAGGGCTACATGCGTTTGGAGCGTTTGTCCTCAACTTGTTTTTGAGTTTGGTCGTGGCCGAGTCCCTCATGCACGTGGTGGGGGCCACCGCCCCCCACTACATCATGGGCATTGCCAACGCCGCGGGCATCTTTGGCATGTTCATGCAGATGGAGGGGTTTATGGTTCCTGCGAAAACGATGCCAGCCTACTGGAAGTGGGCCAACACAGTTGCGTTCCACACGTACTCGTTCGAATCGTTTGTCCACAACCAGTTTACTGCCATGAACACCACGCGCAGCCACGAAATCCTCGCCCGATTTGGCTTTGAACAGGTCAACGTCCACCAACACATGGTCGTGCTCGGGGTCTACGCGGTCGTGCTCGAAGTCGCGTTTGCTGCCGTCTTGTACAAGTGGCACACTGGCCGTCGGTAGTACATAGCGTTGGAGTTGCTTTTGAAATACCTCAGTATATTATTAGTGCTTACAGTATTTTGGATTTGGGGCGAATTTCCAGGCCGCCGAATCGAATCACGAATCGGCTAATTCGATTTTGAGTAGATTTGATTGGCTCTTACAGAAAGGATAAGTATAGTCAGCCAATCAGAACTCCAGCGTGATTGGATATTGATAGTCAAACCACGCGAAGTTTGGAAATTTATAGCGAATTCCCAATATCTTCTCCGCATCCATATCACTGACTAATAGTTTACACTTTGTGATGGAGTTCATCGTAACAATTGCTCGCTTTTTAGAATTTGAAACGTCATCACTTAAGGGTGTGTCATGTGACTGCATTCCGATCATAAGAACGCGTAAAGTTACACGCCTGTAACATTACGATATAGTAGGCTGCTGTTTTAACGTTACACTTAATCGAACACTACTTGCGTGTGGATCGTGCTTGGAAATCAAAAGGCACAAAATTTGCTTTCGATGCACTTCAAGTTGCACACGCTGTGGGAGGTATGTGCACATTCAAAATGCATGTCGAAGAGGGCAGGGGGTGTGATGGAAAAATGTGAAGTGATGAATTAACGTTAATGGTTAGGCGGGCGTTGGGAACTGAGCTATGCCTGTGTAGAACAGATCCGTAGAGATTGGGATACCAACCTTCCTCGACGGCCCTTGTTCACCTTTGTTGAATACTATGGAGGTAGGTGTAGGGAAGGGGTGCCTTGATGGTGAGGATATTTCGCCTTTTTGCCCAACCACCAAATTTTAACCATATTGCGGGATTGTAGGGAGTTGATAACGCAGAGGAAATTGTAAAACTGATTGATTGGCGTTATCTACATCTACATGCATGACTACTGTGACTATACTATATC